CGTCTTCGTAAATAAAACATAACCCATATGCCTACAGAATGCATTCCTAGGTCTTTTTCTTGTGGCATTCACATCATGGACCACTGATTTGCTCATCCTCTCAGTCATCTTGTTTATCAAGTGCCCATGCTGGGTGCTGGATGCTGGGTGCTGGAGATATCTCAGTGAGAAAAAGAGCTGCCACCCCTGCCCACCAGGAGCATCTAGTTCTGTGGTGGAGACTGACCATTCGCCAGTCACAGAGATAACTGTCAAGTTACAGCTCCAAACACAGTGAAGGCAAGGTCCGCAGTGCCTGGAGAGTCTAGAACCAGCCTAGGGTGAACTCAAGCTCCTGCCCAAGGCCCCCGTTCAGACAACAGCACCTCCACTACCTCTCTGCGCAGCCTGAGACTCCGGGTGACACCCTGCCCACTGCTCTCTCTGCCCTCAGACCCAACTCCTCTGTGCATCTTTCCAAACAGCCCTAGGCTCTTCCCACCGCCCATCATTTGCCCTACACCCCCCCGTCCTCCCTCTGCCAGGACCCGTCCTCCCTCTGCCAGGTTAAGTGATGCCCCTCATCACTGGGCTCTCTGTTGCTACTCTTGTCCTGCACTTTTTTCCCACACTGCAGGAAAAGGCTCCTCTCAGGCTGTCAACCCCTGTCATAGCCCTGCCCTCCACTCCAGTACAGCCTGTCCCCTCAGGGAAACCCGAAGGCTTGTCCGTGGCACCGCAGGCACTGCAGGGTCCTGCTCCCTCTCCTTACTCCTTACTTCCTACACACATGAACATGCGCCCACTTCAGGCCCTGTCAGCTGCCTCACCGTCTACCTCAAATGCCCGTCCAATGACCCTCACAGCCTGCTCCCTTATCTCATTTAGGGCCCTACTCCAGCACCCTCTGCCAGAGACTTTCCCTGGCCACCTGCCTAACATAGCAGCTCTCTCCTTCACTCTCGATCCCTTTGCCCTGCCTTGGTTGTCTCCCCTTAGCACCCAGCATCACCTGATGGTGTCTTCCATGTGATTGCTTCTTCGGAGATCGTTTCTCCCTCACTGGCGTGTGAGCTCTGTGAGGGCAGGGAGGGACTGCCTTATTACCTCACAATGCCCTGCACAAATGCCAGGATTTCGGAAAGTTCACAGAAAAATGAAATTAAAATCCAACTGCTTTGGTGCCAAAAGTATTTGAAATCCACGCATAGTTTTCCCATAATATGCATTGTTTCATGAACTTGTTAAAGACCCTCTCAGCAGGCCACCAGTAAACGTGTGCTGAATGACTGGGAGGGTGCTTAGACAGGCAAGGACAGCTTCCCTAGCTGAGAGCTGAAGGATGAACAGGGGCGGCCAAGGGGAAGAGAGAAGAGGGGAGAGCATCCCAGGCAGCAGAAGAACCTGTGCACAAGCCGCCCGTGGTGGGGCTGTCACACAAACAAGGCACTGCTAAAAGGCCAGAGTGACTGCCAAATGTAGAACAGGAGTGAGCGAGTGCGCGAAGCTGAGGACATCTGCAGCCGTCACCACGAGGGTCGGGAAGCCAGTGTGAGGGAGGGCCTTCAGCTCATGAGAGCAGAGGGAAGCTGTGGAGAGTCTATAAGCAGGGGAGTGGTGTGATTAGATGGACGTTTAAACAGATTTCATAACAGCTCTACTTGTGAGTGGCCAGTGTCCCCACAGCAGCATATTGTTCCCTCACCGTTAGAGACCATCACAGTGACCGACTGTACAGACAGTGGAGCAGCACAGCCTTCCCAAGGTCCAGAGTTGGGAACGTTCCACAGTTGGCTTTGGAGCTTTGTGGCAGGACAGTTTTCCATTTCACCTGGGACCAAGAAGTGGCTGTCAGGGCCTGCTGTAATGTCCAGTCATCACTGGGGGAGGAGCAGAGCATGCAGGTGTCTTTTAACTAGCATGCTTGAGCCTTGGTGGCCACTCTTTAGAGCTCACTGGATTTTTGAGCCCGAAGGAGGAAATGTGGAAAGAGGGAGTTTTTTTATAAAGGAGAATTCTGTTTCTGACATGTGAGGGCTCTGTACTTCAGAGTCCCCATCTACAAGGACCCCTGTGCAGAACTCTGAGCACAAATTAACTGCTTATCACCAGATAATGGAGTTACCCAGCATAAACCTACAGAGTCCTTTGGGGGGGTGTGCCTGGGGGCTGAGGTTCCTCCCCTTTTTTTCCCAGAAGGGTGACAGGGATTGGCCTCACCACAGTGGTACGCCCGGCCACCTAGACAGATGTTCACAGTGATCTTTGGTGACGTTGAGGCATCAGGAAAATAGGAAGTTCTAAACATCTACAGCACGGCAGTATTTCACAAAATCATAGCCTTTACTTTATTCCACTTCATTTAAAACTGATGGCTTTGAGACAGCTCATAAAAATTAAGTTCAGTGGCCTAAAACAAAGGAAGAAACAAGTGGAGAAAAAAATCTTTTTAAAGATAAAAGGTGGCCCTGAGTGATGACCCTACCCACACCCCTTGCTCTAAAGCCTTGTACTTTTGCCAGAAACGGGCCATAGGTGTGGTTCTAATTCTTCCCCCAAAGCATAAAGAGGAAGGAGAAAAGTGCTTGATTCATTTGCTCCATGCAAATATCAAACCAACTGGAAGCTCAAAAGTGTGGCCCAAGATTTTTCACAAGGGCCAACATGGAAAAAATGCTATGTGAGAGGCATACCACGTCTTCGTAAATAAAACATAACCCATATGCCTACAGAATGCATTCCTAGGTCTTTTTCTTGTGGCATTCACATCATGGACCACTGATTTGCTCATCCTCTCAGTCATCTTGTTTATCGAGTGCGCATGCTGGGTGCTGGAGATATCTCAGTGAGAAAAAGAGCTGCCACCCCTGCCCACCAGGAGCATCTAGTTCTGTGGTGGAGACTGACCATTCGCCAGTCACAGAGATAACTGTCAAGTTACAGCTCCAAACACAGTGAAGGCAAGGTCCGCAGTGCCTGGAGAGTCTAGAACCAGCCTAGGGTGAACTCAAGCTCCTGCCCAAGGCCCCCGTTCAGACAACAGCACCTCCACTACCTCTCTGCGCAGCCTGAGACTCCGGGTGACACCCTGCCCACTGCTCTCTCTGCCCTCAGACCCAACTCCTCTGTGCATCTTTCCAAACAGCCCTAGGCTCTTCCCACCGCCCATCATTTGCCCTACACCCCCCCGTCCTCCCTCTGCCAGGACCCGTCCTCCCTCTGCCAGGTTAAGTGATGCCCCTCATCACTGGGCTCTCTGTTGCTACTCTTGTCCTGCACGGTCTTCCCACACTGCAGGAAAAGGCTCCTCTCAGGCTGTCAACCCCTGTCATAGCCCTGCCCTCCACTCCAGTACAGCCTGTCCCCTCAGGGAAACCCGAAGGCTTGTCCGTGGCACCGCAGGCACTGCAGGGTCCTGCTCCCTCTCCTTACTCCTTACTTCCTACACACATGAACATGCGCCCACTTCAGGCCCTGTCAGCTGCCTCACCGTCTACCTCAAATGCCCGTCCAATGACCCTCACAGCCTGCTCCCTTATCTCATTTAGGGCCCTACTCCAGCACCCTCTGCCAGAGACTTTCCCTGGCCACCTGCCTAACATAGCAGCTCTCTCCTTCACTCTCGATCCCTTTGCCCTGCCTTGGTTGTCTCCCCTTAGCACCCAGCATCACCTGATGGTGTCTTCCATGTGATTGCTTCTTCGGAGATCGTTTCTCCCTCACTGGCGTGTGAGCTCTGTGAGGGCAGGGAGGGACTGCCTTATTACCTCACAATGCCCTGCACAAATGCCAGGATTTCGGAAAGTTCACAGAAAAATGAAATTAAAATCCAACTGCTTTGGTGCCAAAAGTATTTGAAATCCACGCATAGTTTTCCCATAATATGCATTGTTTCATGAACTTGTTAAAGACCCTCTCAGCAGGCCACCAGTAAACGTGTGCTGAATGACTGGGAGGGTGCTTAGACAGGCAAGGACAGCTTCCCTAGCTGAGAGCTGAAGGATGAACAGGGGCGGCCAAGGGGAAGAGAGAAGAGGGGAGAGCATCCCAGGCAGCAGAAGAACCTGTGCACAAGCCGCCCGTGGTGGGGCTGTCACACAAACAAGGCACTGCTAAAAGGCCAGAGTGACTGCCAAATGTAGAACAGGAGTGAGCGAGTGCGCGAAGCTGAGGACATCTGCAGCCGTCACCACGAGGGTCGGGAAGCCAGTGTGAGGGAGGGCCTTCAGCTCATGAGAGCAGAGGGAAGCTGTGGAGAGTCTATAAGCAGGGGAGTGGTGTGATTAGATGGACGTTTAAACAGATTTCATAACAGCTCTACTTGTGAGTGGCCAGTGTCCCCACAGCAGCATATTGTTCCCTCACCGTTAGAGACCATCACAGTGACCGACTGTACAGACAGTGGAGCAGCACAGCCTTCCCAAGGTCCAGAGTTGGGAACGTTCCACAGTTGGCTTTGGAGCTTTGTGGCAGGACAGTTTTCCATTTCACCTGGGACCAAGAAGTGGCTGTCAGGGCCTGCTGTAATGTCCAGTCATCACTGGGGGAGGAGCAGAGCATGCAGGTGTCTTTTAACTAGCATGCTTGAGCCTTGGTGGCCACTCTTTAGAGCTCACTGGATTTTTGAGCCCGAAGGAGGAAATGTGGAAAGAGGGAGTTTTTTTATAAAGGAGAATTCTGTTTCTGACATGTGAGGGCTCTGTACTTCAGAGTCCCCATCTACAAGGACCCCTGTGCAGAACTCTGAGCACAAATTAACTGCTTATCACCAGATAATGGAGTTACCCAGCATAAACCTACAGAGTCCTTTGGGGGGGTGTGCCTGGGGGCTGAGGTTCCTCCCCTTTTTTTCCCCACAGCTTTAGAAACTAGAAGGTTCCTAGTATTGCCAAAGACTTTTCTTGTCCATCTCCCAAGTCCAGAAGGGTGAGACCAACATACAGAAGAGAAGTGGGGACTCTGGTTTCTTAATGAACACTGACAAGCCTGATTTCCTGTTTCTCTTTTTATTTCTGTCTCAGATCTTCTCCCAGGAGTACATCAACCTCTTGCTGTCCATGTATTTCTTCGTGCTGGGAATCCTGGCCCTGTCCCACACCATCAGGTCAGAAGGCATCTCTCTGCAACATTTGAAGCAGCTTTCTCAGGAGCCAGTGCAGGGTCTCGGATGAGAACGTGACCTGTGGCATCATTCAGAGCCAGGTTTGAATCCTGGCTGTACAACCCCAGGGAATCTTTCCCCTGCGTCACACTAGATGACCTAGGATGAGAACGCTAACCTCTCTGAGCTGCAGTCTCCTTACGGGGAATGCTGAGTGTCTCATGGGTTTTCCCTCCACTGCAGATGTTGGGGAAGCTATCTGTGTCAGTTGTCACAGTACTAAGGTGAGTGACACCGCTGGCACCTGTTGGGTGTCATAGCCTACTGTGTGCCAAGCACTCGGCTGGGCTCCTCACACACGAGCTTTCATCATGGAGGGAGACATCACAGAGAGAATCAGGAGCACAGGCTCCGGAGCGTGACTGCGTGGATTCACACTCTGCCACTAAGAGCTCCACAACCTTGGGCAAGGCAGTTACTCTCAGGCCTGTTTCCTCACAAATGTGGAGGAAAATCATAGTACTTCCTTCTTGGGGTCATGCGGAAAGCACTGCCCAGTGTCTGGCACTAAATGTGTTTACTAACTGCCATCCGTTATTATCATCCGTGCTAACCTTCCAGACACCCCGATGTGGTTACATCTTGCTTTTATTCTCATGTAAGAGTCAGGGAAACTGAAGCTCAGAGAGGTTAAGAAACGTGCTGGAATCGCACAGCTGATAAGCAGTAGAGCCAGGATTCAAACCCAGGTCTGCATGGCCCCAGAGCCCATCCTCTTCCCACTGCCAGCTGGCTTCGATTGCCACATGCTTATGTCAGTTCAGTGGGGATGAGTGATCTAGGCCAATTCTCCACTGTGTTCTGCACTACAGACATTTGGTGTCCTTGTCCTGCCCACCAAATGGAACTTGCACTTCAAGGCCTTCCCCCAGCTTTTGGTGTCAGAAATGCCCCAACCTGTTTCTGTCTTGAGGTGGTAACAGCTTGAGGCTGAGAACCAGTGATAGACTGAGAAGTGGCCAGCGGACAAGGGAAGGTTCCCAGAAGGAAGGAATTCAATTTGAGCTCAGCTTTGAAGGGTAGGAAACCTGGAAGAGGTACAAAGGATGGAGAGGCCAGGCCAGGAGCTGGAAAGTCCATGCACATCAAGGACATAGTTGGGATCTTCCCGGAGAAGTCAAAGAAAAAGCTAGAGAGAAAGAGCAGGATCCGTTCACAAAGGCACTAAAAGCCACGGCGAGTGAAGCCTCATTCCTGTAGGGCCGTGTGGTAATCAAGAGCATGGCCTCAAGAAGCAGGTGGCCGTGGGACCAAGGCCTGGCTCTGCCAGCGCTGTGATTTGTCACTTGAGCTTTCTGAGCATCCAATGAGCTGCTGTCTGTGAGATACCTAGAGCACAGTGCCACGCACACAGCGAGTTGAGCGGCTGGCCCTAGGTTATACGGCTGGAACTTCAACTCTAGTCTTTTGACTGAGTTCAGTGTTGTGTTGTTGCCTACATTTCACCCACAAAATCTCCCTCTAGCTCTTTAGGAGAATGCTACATCACCCCCTGATCCTGAAAAATAAAAGTCCCAGAGAAATGAGTGGCAGGCTCAGTCACCCTTGCTCACAGGACAGACCTGTCCTTTTATGATGGACTGTTGGGGTGAGTGGTCACTTCTGGGCACTGAGACCCCACCTTGCCCATGTTTAGGATCCATCCCCCAACTCTAGCCCAACCTACCCCTGCAACTGCAAGAGGCTTGAGAGCCTCCACTTCTCCCCACAGCCCAACTTTCATCTCAGTGAGAAAACCCACCAGAGCTTCAAAAGCCACCGTTAGGCCATGTGCTGAGGACTGATTATTTTTTTACTTCATCTCAACAGCCCTGTAAGAGAGATCTTATCTCCATCCAAGAAGGGCTGTTTTGAACTTCTTTATTTTTGACACCAAACTTTTTTCTTTTTCCTTTTTGAACAGTAACTGAGGGACGTTGTCCCAGATTTCTCAGACCTCAGCCAAGAAACAATTGTCTGTCTTTTAAACTAATTGATAATTTTTAGCAATAGGTATTATCAAGAGGAAATAAAACCTGCAACACTAAAACTACACATGGTCAAACTTGTTAGTAACTAGAAACTAACAGAAGAATCATTTCCTTAATAAAGTTTAGAGCAATAATTTTGATCTGGGGAAATCAACCCTCATTAAAAATAATGAATGGTATAGGCAGAGGGATGCTCACCGTAAAGGATCAAAGCTGTCCACTGAGAAATGTGATGGGGACCAAAAACAGTTGGACAAATGAAATTGTTACTGTAAGATTCTCATGGAAAAGCACAGAATCCATTGAAAGTAATTTTAATTAAAAGGGGTGGGGTTATAATTTAATCATGCTTTTGCAAAAGTTGATCCAAGAATTAAATTAACTTTTCCTCTTCAATTGAGTTTTTGTACTTTCTCAAGGAAAGTCTACAGTGTTGTTCAAATTTTGATGAGTCGTTTATATCCACATACTTATAGTCAGACCTTCCTCAGGACCCAAACAGCCGGGTCCAGTGGTTCAAGACAGGGACTTTGGGACTCAAAGTTTCTGTAACTACCAAGATTCACAGCCGGTAAGAGCAGAGGGAGTATTTGAGCCCAGATCTGGCTAACTCCACAGCCAGTATTCTTTTCCAGTTTTTGTAAAAGTGAAGGGGAAGGGAGAGTTTAGAGAGAGTAGACTAGCCACGCTCTCCCAAAGGACCTGTGGCCTCCTGAGGACTGGCAGAGGAGAGGTCTGTTGAAAGGCTGTAAAGAGCTGAGCCCCCAGTCATGCCAGCCAGGTCTGAGGTTCTTTTAGGATCCCTTCCACCTCCACTATAGCATCCCCTTGAGTTTCTTTGGAACCAACCACAGCGAGGCGTGTTGGAGGAGGCGGGAACCACCACCTGCCTTCACGTTGTCCAGTCACAAAGACACAAGTCCAAGCCAAATCCTCCCTGCCAAGGGAACCTCAAGTTATTTTTATCACCTCTGACTGGGCTCATGCCCCACCCAGCTGACCTTTAGAGGAAAAAAGGCCCAGAGACCTGAATCTGCCACCCAGGAAGAGAAGACCACATCACCAGTTTCACTGACCTTTGCCTTCTTCCCCCAGGGGAGAAGGGCACTGTGATGTGGT